TCCTGTTTTCTCCATAGCCCTCCAGCCTACTGTTTCCCACATTCTGTATAAGAGTGACAGTCATTGTTCATTATATGTAACAAACTTTTGACATCCTGTTGAGTTTGAAACTGCTGTGGACATCCAGATGGAGACCCCCAGAGGGAAATGCAATATTGGTGGTCAGGAGAAAGACTGGAACTGGAACAAAGGACCTGGCAGATAGGCCAAGGGATGTGATGGCCAAAGCCATGGGCAGAGGAGAGTCCCTAGGGAGAAAAAGAATATCATGGAAGGCTTACATGTAATAGCGAAGAGAGAAATGGGAACCAGGAGAGGCTGGAGTGGTCAGAGAGTTATGAAGTAACCAAGAGCTCTGTGAGGCTTTTACAAAGGAGGGGTAGTCATCAGTTCTACAAGCTTAGGTGTGAAATATAAGCAACTAAAGCCATTTAAACAACAACAACAACAACAACGACGACCCTACTTTGTCTCTCCTTGCTCTTGTCGTCTTTGTTCCTGGTTTGTTTTTCCCTACCCTTACTCTCTTGCCTTTTTGGATTCCCCTTTAAACGTCACCTTCACCAAGTTCAGCTGCTTCCACCCCTGCCCCTCCCCTGACCCCCTGCACCTAGCACCATTACTACTGTATCTAGCATAATATTTCAGAGGCTACCTAAAGGCAATAATTAGACAAACACTCAAAACTGCACATCCCAGGCTTGTTCATGAAAGTGAAAAGTTGGAAAACAAACTAGATATCTATCAAGAAGTGAAATGATTTATAGACCATCCTGGCTGTCCTGGTATTTTTGTAGAAAAGAAATTTCATTAAGGGTTCCCAGCAGTCTTGGAATCTGTATTCCCAATACATTTATCAAATTTAGGATGCTTCTGAGCTTCCCCATTTCTCTGGCCTTGTCTCCTAAAGGTAATGTTAGTGGTAAACACGTGACCTCTCTTTTGTGAAGCCACGGATATAACACAATTCTAGACTTCCAGGTTCCTGTTGCCATATTTTCTCTAAGAAGCTCTTCTTTGCTTATGCTCATATTTACCTATGGTAGCTTTGATGTTTCATTTTCCATAGTAAGTGAGACTCTGGGCAGAGCCCCCAGCACTACTGCTAAGAGGACACGAGGGCCACTTTAGCAGAGACAGACAGCCCAACCCCTGTCCACTGTCATCAGAAACTCGTCTGTGACAAGAAAAAGTATAAATCAAAATCATACCAGCGATGTTTTAGTCTTCAACCTGAGGCAGTTGAAGCTTGGGTATCACCTTGAAGTCCTTGTGTATTGTGTATTGTTGTCGAGTACTCTCAGTGTTGAAAGGGCACCCAACTGCAACCTCATGAAGCCCAGAGCTACAGAAAGAGGGATTGTGGACGTCTGACTTCTTCATTATGGTCATGCTGGCCCTTGGGGTGGCTGCCTTTAAGGGAAGAGGGGGTTTAAAAAGAACAAAGAGAGATATGTACCAGGGGTGTTTGTCCTCATCAGTATGTGAGTTCGTGGAAGGAGTTCTTGCTGCTTGCTGAACAGTGAAAATATTCTCTTGATGGACACCTTTAACTTGGGTTGACAGGTGACAAATATATATCCCAAGATTTCTATGTTGAGCCTAATGCAACTAGCTGGTGAAATATACCAGCACATCCTCAATCTTTCCCCGATTGTGTCTGCATAAAGTTTAGAATAAATATAACGTGTGTATTAGTTCATTCTTGCACTGCTATAAAGAAATACCTGAGACTGGTAACTTATAAAGAAAAGAGGTTTAACTGGCTCACAGTTCCACAGGCTGTACAGGAAGCATAGCCAGGGAGGCCTCAGGAAAGCTATAATCATGGCAAAAGGTGAAGGGGAAACAGGCTTGTCTTACATGGCCAGAGCAGGTGGAAGAAAGAATGAGGTGGGAGGCACTACACACTTTTAATCAACCAGATCTCGTGATATCTCACTATCATGAGAACAGCACCAAAAGGGAAATCTTCCCCTATGATCCAGTCATCTACCACCAGGCCCCACTTCCAACATTGAGGATTATACTTTGACATGATATTTGGATGGGAACACAAATCCAAACCAAGTCTTTTTTTTCTCTTTTTTGTTGTTTTTGAGATGGAGTCTCACTCTGTTGCCTAGGCGGGAGTACAGTGGCATGATCTCGGCTCACTGCAACCTCCGCCTCCCGGGTTCAAGCAATTCTCCTGCCTCAGCCTCCCAAGTAGCTGGGACTACAGGTGTGTGCTACCATGCCCGGATAATTTTTGTATTTTTAGTAGAGATGGGGTTTCACCATGTTGGTCACGTTGGTCTGGAACTCCTGACCTCAAATGATCCTCCCGCCTCAGCCTCCCAAAGTGCTGGGATTACAGGTGTGAGCCACCCCACCCAGTCCCAAATCATATCAATGAGCAAATTTTAATGTTAATAATTATGGATATTCATAATGTCTTCTGTCTAGCTCTGGGCTTCATGAGACTTCAATGGGCACTGCTTTCTATTAGCACTGTCAACATTAAGAGTCCTTGACCGCAACAGAAAAACCTGAGGACTCAAGGCCAATGCCCAAGCTTCAGCGGCTTTGGTCTAAGACTACAAAACATCACCAGCCTGGAAACTGGTAATACCTACGTGCTAGGAGCTTCCTTGGGATTTTGCGTAGTCTGTAGCACATCCAGTGATCCATTCAGGGTTTCGTGTATATCCATAACAATGGAACTCCATGGTCATTTCACAATTTTTAGGTAGGGTCCAAGGTCTGAGGGCAAATTGTCCTGCATGAATCCCTCTCACATTTCCCCTCAAGCTCATGAATGAGTAAAATCTGGATAAATTACACATGAAGGGGGTCATGGTTAATGAGACTGAGGGGCAGTCACAGTGGGAAGAGCAGCCAGGAGACAAGAATGTTCTAGATGGAAAGAATGAACCAAACCCTGGGCCTATTATTCATCATGGTAGAAAAAATTCCTCTACACAGAATGGAACATGAAGTTCTAAGCCTCCTGGTGTTCCAATGAGCTTGGGTTGCCAAGAGCAGTCATTTAACAAATATCCTTAGACTCCTGCTGTCACACTTAATCTGATCCAGCTTCCTATTTTGAAGAGATGATTTTTGCTGATTTTGACTTCCATCAAAATCTTTGTTTCTTGATGCTCTCTTGAATGTCCACCTTGGCTTCTATGACTCGTTTGTTTTTAAGATCAGCAAGTTTCTCAAAGCCACATTTGAAAAGCATACAGTTACCTTTGAGAGGATTCCAATGCAAGGATAATTTTCTTATTTGTTCATACAATGAAGTAATTTGTTTGCTTTGGTCCATTTTAATCATTGAGCATATAACAGATGGGTCAGTAGGTCCAGAGGCCTAGACGCTAGCCCTGCAGGTCACTAAACTGGTTGAGTGATCTTGGGTGATTTTGGGTATATCACTTAATCTCTCTGGTCTGCAGTTTCCTCAGCTGCAAAATGAAAGGGTTGGGCCAGATGACGTGTAATAATAGCTCCTCTAGCTTCACTAGCCTATAATAATGTCCACAGAGTACAGGCTCTATCTAGCCTCTAAGTCTATGATTAAAATATGATTACATGCTTTTTAGATGAAATTAGAAGAAAATTCTCACAGGACTTTTAACTTACCTACCATAAAGAATCATTCATTATCATTTTGCTTTGCTTCTTCTCACTTCCCACTTCCTAAAGTACTCTACAAATAAAGACTAAAATCCAGGAACTTGATATAGGAGAATGATGGATGTGACTATTTCACATCCTTTTCTTTAATATGTTTTTAATTGCTACATTTCTGTGCCCTTGCAAGTAAATAATTTATTTGCCTATATGTCTATCTGAACTCTGAGTGAGTACTGTTGGTCTCTGGTGCAGTCCAAGCCCTCCAGCCCAGTGCTTGAAACAAAATGGGTCTTACTGTGTGCCAGCAGCTCATGGAATGTGATGCCCTTATTTTCCCACAGTCCTTTACTATAGAAAGGCACATTGTATATTTTCCTTTTTTTTTTTTTTTTTTTTTGAGACAGAATCTCGTTCTGTTGCCAGGCTGGAGTGCAATGGCGCAATCTTGGTTCACTGCAAATCTCCTGCCTCAGCCTCCTGAGTAGCTGGGACTACAGGTGCACGCCACCATGTCCAGCTAATTTTTGTATTTTTAGTAGAGACGGGGTTTCACCATGTTGCCCAGGATGGTCTCGATCTCTTGACCTCATGATCCGACTGCCTTGGCCTCCCAAAGTGCTGGGATTACAGACGTGAGCCACCGTGCCAGGCCTCCAAGATGTTTTTTATGGTAGGATCTATATGTCTCAAACTTCTTAAAAAAATAAACTTTATTGGCCTGCAGTCTTTCTTTCCTCCTTCCTGGTAGCCCCTGGCAACTACTGATCGTTTTATCGTTTCGATTGTTTGGCCTTTTCCAGACTGTCAGGTAATTGGAAACATACAGTATGTATGTAGCCTTTTCAGATTGGCTTAACTTAGTAACATGCATTTAAAATTCCTCCATGTCCTTTCATGGCTTGATAGCTTATTTCTTTTTGGTGTTGAATAATGTTCCCTGGTCTGGATGTACTCCAGGTATTCATTCGCCTACTGAAGGACATCTTGGTTGCTTTCGAGTTTTGACAATTACAAATGAAGCTGCTATAAACATCCATGTGTAGCTCATGTGTGAGCATAGATTCTTAACTCCTTTGGGAAATACTAAGGAGGGCAATTGCTGGATCATAGGTAAGAGTGTGCTTAGCTTTGTAAGAAACTGCCGGGCTGGGTACAGTGGCTCATGCATGTAATCCTAGCACTTTGGGAGGCCATGGCAGGCAAATTGCCTGAGCCCATGAGTTCGACACCAGCCTGGGCAACATGGCCAAACCCTGTCTCTATTAAAAATATTAAAAATTAGCTGGGCATGGTGGTGCACGCCTGTAATCCCAGCTACTTGGGAGACTGAGGCGTGAGAATTGCTTGAACCCGGGAGGTGGGGGTTGCAGTGAGCCGAGATTGCACCACTGCACTCCAGCCTGGGTGATAGAGCGAGACTCTGTCTCAAACAAACAAAAAAAAAAACCAAAACCTGCCAAAACTGTCTTCCAAAATGACCGTGTCATTTTGTTTTCCCATCAACAGGGAATGGGAGTTCCTGTTGTTCCACATCCTCGCCAGCATTTGGTATCATCAGTATTCTGGATTGTGGCCATCTAATAGGTTTGTACTGGGATCTCATTATTCTATTTGTATTTCCCTGAGGACATATGATGTGCAGCGTCTGTTCACATGTGTATTTGCCACGTGTACATCTTCATCATGAGGTGTCTGCTGAAGTCTTTGGCCCATTTTTTAATTGGGTTGTTTGTTTTCTTACTGTTGAGTTTTAAAGGTTCTTTGTATATTTTGGATAGTAGTCCTTTATCAAATATGTTTTTGCAAATATTTTCTCCCAGTCTATGGCTTGGTTTTCATTCTCTTAACAGTGTCTTTTTCAGAACAGAAATTTTTATTTTAATAAAGTCCAGCTTATCATTTCTTTCTTGGATCCTGCCTTTGGTTTTTATCTAAAAAGGCATTGCCAACCCCAAGGTCATCTACATTTTATTCTATGTCATCTTCTAGGAATGTTGTAGTTTTTCACATTACGTTTAGGACTGTGATCCATTTTGAGTTAATTTTTGTAAAGGGTGTAAGGTCTGTGACTAGAATGATTTTTTTTTTTTAGCTTGTGGATGTCCAGTTGTTCCAGTACCATTTGTTGAAAATACTATATTTTTTCTGTTATATTGCCTTTGCTCCTTTGTCTGAGATCAGTTGGCTATAGAGTCATACCTCAAAGATATGGCAGATTTGATTCCAGGCCACCATAATCAAGCAAATATTGCAATAAAGTGAGTGAAACAAATGTTTTGGTTTCCCAGTACATATAAAAAGTATATTTATACTATACTGCAGTCTATTAAGTGTACAATAGCATGATGTCTAAAAACAATGTACACCCCTTAATTAAAAATATTTTATTGCTAAAAGTGTTAGTAATCATCTGAGTGTTCAGGAAGTCACAGTCTTTTTGGAGGTGGAAAGTCTTGCTTTCATACCGATGGCTGCTGATTAATCAGGGTGGTGGTTGCTGAGGATTGGGATGGCTGTGTCAATTTCTAAAAAAAAAAAAAAAAGACAACAATAGAGTTTGCTGCATCAATTGACTCTTCCGTTTATGAAAGATTTCTTTGTAGTAGGCAATGCTGTTTGATAGCATTTACCCACAAGCAGAACTTCTTTCACAATTGGGGTCAGTTCTCTCAAATCCTGTTGCTGCCTTATCAACTAAGTTTGTGTAAGATATCTAAATTCTTTGTTTTTATTTCAACAATGTTCACAGCATCTTTAACAGGAGTAGATTATTCCATATCAAGAAACCACTTCCTTTGCTCATCCATAAGAAGCAACTTCTTGGCTGGGCATGGTGGCTATACGAAATCATTTTTAACCAATATTTTATAGGTATATATAAATGACCAATTTTGACAGTACTGGGAAGTTTAGGATTTCTCACAAACTAACAGCTACTGAATAGAAAAGATCAAAATAGGCTGGGCACAGTGGCTCACTCCTGTAATCCCAGCACTTTGGGAGGCTGAGGTGGGTGGATCATGAGGTCAGGAGATGGAGACCCATCCTGGCTAACATGGTGAAACCCCGTCTCTACTAAAAATACAAAAAATTAGCTGGATGTGGTGGTGGGCGCCTGTAGTCCCAGCTACTTGGGAGGCTGAGACAGGAGAATCTCTCGAACCTGGGAGACAGAGGTTGCAGTGAGCCGAGATTACACCATTGCACTCCAGCCTGGGCGACAGAGTGAGACTCCGTCTAAAACAAAACAAAACAAAACAAAACAAAACAAAACAAAACAAAACAAAACAGAAGCAACTTCTCATCCAGTAAAGTTTTATCACGAGGTTGCCGCAATTCAGTTACATCTTTAGGCTCCACTTCCAATTCTAGCTGTCTTGCTGTTTCCATTATATCTGCAGTAACTTCCTCCACTGAAGTCTTGAACCCCTGAAGGTCATCCCTGGGAGTGGAATCAACTTCTTCCAAACTCCTGTTCATATTGACATTTCGAACTCTTTTCATGAATTCTAAATGTTCTCAATGGTATTTAGAATGGCGAATCCTTTCCAGAAGGCTTTCAATTTACTTTGCCCGGATCCATCAGAGGAATTACTACCTATAGCAATTGTAGCCTTATGAAATGTATTTCTTAAATAATAAGACTTGAAAAAATGAAATTACACCTTAACCCATGGGCTGCAGAATGGATGTTGTATTAGCAGGCATAAAATATTAATATCCTTGTACACCTCCATCAGAGCTTTTGGGTGACTAGGTACATTGTCAATGAGCAGTAATAGTTTGAAATAAATCTTTTTTTCCTGAGCAGTAGGTCTCAACAGTGGGCTTAAAACCTTCAGTAAACCATGCTATAAACAGATGTTTATAGCATGTTTTATCATTCAGGTTTTGTTGTCCCATTTATAGAACACAGGCAGAGTAGATGTAGCATAATTCTTAAGGACCCTAGAATTTTTGGAATTATAAATGAGCATTGACTTCAACTTAAAGACACCAGCTGCGTTAGTTCCTAACAAGAAAGTCAGGCTGTCTTTTGAAGGCTTTGAAGGCAGGCATTGACTCTCCTCTCTAGCTTTGAAAGTCCTAGATGGCATCTTCTTCCACAAGAAGGCTGTTTCATCTACATTGAAAATCTGCTGTGTAGTGTAGCAACCTTCATCAATTATCTTAGCTAGATCTTCTGGATAACTTGCTGCAGCTTCTACATCAACACTGGTTGCTTTATCTTGCCCTTTTATGTTATGAAGATGGCTTCCTCTCTAAACCCCAGGAATCAACCTCTGCTAGCTTTAAGCTTTTCTTCTGCAGCTTCCCCACAATTTTAAGTCTTCATAAAATGGAAGAGAGTTACAGCCTTGCTCTGGATTAAGCTTTGATTTATGGGAATGGTGTTGCTGGTTTGATCTATCCAGACCACTAAAACTTTCTTCGCATCAGCAATAAGGCTGTTTTGCTTTCTTATCATGTGTGTGTTCACTTGAACAGCACTTTAAATTTCCTTCAAGGACTTTTCCTTTGCATTCACAACTTGGCTAACTGTTAGACACAAGAGTCCTAACTTTGGGCTTATCTTGGCGTTTGACATTCCTTTCTCACTAAGCTTAATCATTTCTATGTTTTGACTTAAAGTGGGAGATGTGCAACTCTTCTTTTCACTTCAACACTTATAGGCCTTTGTAGAGTTACTAACTGGTCTAATTTCAATATTGGTATATCTCAGGGAATAGGGAGGCCTGAGGAGAGGGAGAGAGATTGGGGAACGGCCGGTCAGTGAAGCAGTCAGAACACATGTAACATTTCTTAATTAAGTTTGCTGTCTTATATGGACGTAGTTCAATAATTACAATAGTAATATCAAAGATCGCTGATCACAGCTCACCATAACAGCTATGATAATAATGAAAAAGTTTGAAATATTGTGAGAATTACAAAAATGTGACATGGAGACATAACTATTGGGAAAATGACACTGGTAGACTTGCTTCATGCAAGGTTGCCACAAACCTTCAGTTATAAAAAACACAACCTCTGCAAAGCACAGTAAAGTGAAGTGCAATAAGACAGGGTCTGCCTGTATTTATGTGGATCTGTTTCTGGGCTCTATTCTGTTCCATTGATCTATTTGTTTATTCTTTCACCAATACCACTTGGTCAAAGAGTGCTTTTACTGCCCTTTTTTTTATCTTTGGGACAGAGTCTCACTCTGTCACCCAGGCTGGAGTACAGTGGTGCGATCTCAGCTCACTGCAAGCTCCACCTCCCGGGTTCATGCCATTCTCCTGCCTCAGCCTCTCGAGTAGCTGGAACTACCAGTACGTGCCACCACGCCCGGCTAATTTTTGTATTTTTAGTAGATACGGGGTTTCACCATGTTGGCCACAATGGTCTTGATCTCCGGAACTCGTGATCTTCCTGCCTTGGCTTCCCTAAGTGCTGGGATTACAGGTATGAGCCACTGCGCCCAGCCTTTTTCCTTCAATATTTCAATATTGAGTTGGCTATTCTGGATCTTTTTTCTCTCCACATACACTTTAGAATCAGTTTGTTGACATCCACAAAATAACTTGCTGAGATTTTAATTGGAATTGCACTGAATTTATAGATCAATTTGGGGAGAACTAACATCTTGACAATCTAAAACATTCCTATCCAAGAACTTGAAATATCTCTTCATTTATATAGTTCCTTTTACATTTCTTTCATCAGAGTTTTGTAGTTCTCATTTAGATTTTGTATGTGTTTTGTTCGATTTATATCTAAGTATTTTATTTTGGCAGGTGCTAATGTAATGATTTTGTGTTTTCAATTTCACGTTTTATTTGTTCGTTGCTGCTATACAGGAATATGTTTGACTTTTGTATATTAACCTTATGTCCTGCAACCTTGCTTTAATAACTTATTTATTCCAGGGTGTTTTTTTGTTGATTTTTTTAGATTTTCTACATCAACAATTATGTCATCTTTGAACAGAGACAGTTTTATTTCTTCCTTCCCGATCAGTATAGTCTTTAGTTTTCTATTCTTTTCTTGTCTTATTGCATTCACTAGGACTTCCAGCCAACACAATGTTGAAAAGGAGTGGTAGGAGGGGACAGCCTTGCCTTGTTCCTGAATTTATTGGGAAAGCTTCTAGTTTCTCATCATTAAATATGATGTTAGCTGTAGGGTTTTTGTTGATTTTCTTTATCAAGTTGAGGAAGTCTTCCTCTATTATTAGTTTATTTAGAATGTTGATCATGAATCGGTATAATTTTGTTAAATGCTATTTCTGTATCTATTGATATGATTATGTGATTTTTCTTCTTTAGCCTTTAATGTGCTGGATTACATTAACTAACTTGTGAATGTTGAGCCAGCCTTGCATACCTGGGATAAATCCCACTTGTTTATGGTGCGTATTCTTTTCATGTTGTTGGATTTGATTTGTTAGTATTTTGTTGAGGATTTTTGCATCTATATTCATGAGAGTATTGGTCTGTAGTTTCAAAAAAGTTTAGATATCTACAATAAGGCATGATTATGTTTATTTTGATATTTTCTTTCTTTTTTTTGAGACGGAGTCTCACTCTATCACCCAGGCT